GAAAACGTGTCGTCGTTTTCAACTCAACAGTAATTCTAGTCAGTCTTCGTCACACCGGATCTTGAGGGTGAGCTAATGTTTCTAGCTTGGACTGGATCTTCTCCTTCATGTCTTGATGCCTTGAACTTCCGGCATGGACTAGCTTTTATTTGTTTTAGTTTTTTTTTTAGAATACTCTTAGTTTAGTCATTTGATCGTAGATGTTCTTGTGGTGATGACTTCCAGATTTTGGGGAATGATAAGTTTTGAGTTATAGAAGTTGATTATTGATTTTTATTAATGAGTTTAAGTCTTCCGCATTACTTCATGTTGATATTATATTGAAATGTTAAGGTTTAGATTGGTTGGTTCGCTCACATAGGAGGGTAAGTGTGGGTGCCAGTCGCGGCCCGGATTTGGGTCGTGACAAATATGGTCTGGAAGTAGCATTTTGTCCTATATATCATTTTATGTAAAATTATATTTAACTGGATGCATAATAATATTCAACGTTAACGTGTATGTATATAATTTTGTGATCTTAAACAAGAGCCCCAGTATCAACTCTATGAGAAGCATTAGAAGGAATAGTATGAGGAGTTTGAGGAATCCAATATACCAACATACAGTATGTTGCCTATGCATGGTGATACCAAAATCCTTCCTGCACACAAAGTAAATTATCAATTTTCAATATTTTTTTCTCAATTTATGTGACTTATTTTTAAAAGAAAATTAGAGTTAATTTAATTTATTTTAAAAATAATTAATATTAGATTAACTCAAAGTCATATATATTGAATTTTGAAAAAGTAGAAGTATCACATAAATTAAATTTTGTTTATTAGGTTGACATTTACGTACCTTGACTGCATCGTTAACTAGGTGGTAATATTCTATATGCAATTTAATCCAAACACCCTTCTTTCCCTGAAACAAAAAATTACATATATTATCACTCTAATTTTACCAAAGGCATATATTATGACATTAAACATGTTATAAATATAGAAAACGTAAAATTGAAGGTTTAAATTAAATATATTTCAAATATAAAAAGAAAAAAAATCTAAAATAGTGACAATTAAATAGGAACGGAGAAAGTATTTTATATTCATTATTTTTATAAGATTTTAAATTTAATATGAATCAATAACTTTTACTTTTTTTAGTAATTATTGTTTTTGGTCCTGTGATATGTTTAACATTACAAGATTAGAAGACATTTTTTATAACTTTATTCTGAACCATAAAATTAAAAGTTTTTCCTTACTCTTTTTATTCAGTTAAACTATATTATTCTTTTCAGGACGGAGGAATACCTGATTCGTCCATTGTGTAATCGATGCCCTAAGCATAGCAATGAATTTGATAGAATCGATTGAGTCCTTGATATGTACATTCATGCCTCCATATGCATCTTCATCAGCCTCAAACACTTGTCTATTTTCCCCCATAACTCCAAATATTGTTGAATTTCTTTCAACAACTAATTGCCTATGAATACTATCAACAAATGGAGAGCATGTAATAATCTCACAAGTGAGATCTCAAAAAATGCAATGTGTATGCAGCCCCTGTGTTTCCTAAAAAAATAAAGCAAAAATGAGTTTGACAGTAAAAAATATTTATTCCATGAAGAGTGGGGGTGTCAAATTTTGACCATAAAACGTAAGATCAAACTTTGGTGGATAAGGCTGAAGATATATTCATCAGCACATCAATTTGGGCACAAGCAAATTCAACTTGTCGCTTTACACTCTGTTTGGATCATTGTTATCCATTATATTGTATTGTATTGTTACTATATCTACTATATTTGCTTTGATTGTTATTTAAAATGTATTATACTGTGTTGTTAAATTTCGTTGTGACATAACAATGAAAACCCCTATTTTATGGAACAACCAATTTGGTGTGTTCCCATTGTTACTTAATTTCTTTTTTCAATTATATTTTTATATAATATTTCAAAATACTATTTTACCATTTACCTTAATTATTTAAATCTAGTCAAACTTCCTATCGTAGGATAATTAAGGATATTTTTGTGAATTTATAAATTACAATACAGTATGAACAATCAAACCAAACAACAAAAAAGTTATTAAACAACAGCAGACAATACAGTCTAGCCAAACATTACATCTACCACACAATACAGTACAATAGAGTATAATACAATACAATACATTATGAAACAATAGGTAACAATGATCCAAACAAAGTGTTAATCAAAGAAAATACACCAATAAATCTGGATAGCTAAAGTATTACTACATTTACTATGAAGAGCACGACACGAGTCATAAAAATATTTATGTTGTCCACAGATTCCCAAAATATGGGTTATATCTTCATCTATGCGATGAGAATTGAAAATTAAGGGAGAATAGAACAGAGCAAAACATCTTTAGTGGGTGGGCAGTAACATTTGGATTAATGAAAAAGATAAAAAGGAGAAAATTGAACAAATGGTATCTTTTTAAGTCTCTATTTAAATTTTGGTCACTATTTTTAACCAAGTTGCTTACGAACTACTACCAAGTTGGCCTTTCTCATTTCCAAGTCAAAATCAATCTCATTCATATAACAGAATTTAAGTTTGGATATATAAAATTAACAAGTAAAATAGGTTTGTACAATCATAACATTTCTTAATTAAATTATGTACTCTGATTTAGGCTTTTATAATAATAAAATTAATTATTGGCCACTTGAATTAATGTAACGACCTGTTTAGTCGTTTTGAGCAGTAGAGTATTTCTGGTAATAACTGTCTGAGTCAACGGATCCCACGATGGATCGTCATGGGCATGACAGACCGTCGAGGGTGTCTCGTTCCAAAACACTTAGAATTCTGAAATTTGGGTACTGAGATCGACTCTACGAACTTCATGACGAAATGGCAGGACGGACCGTCACAGGCATGACGGGCCGTCACAGACTCTTTAAATGAATTAAGTCTCTGAACTTTGTAACGGAAGCAGCAGGACGGACCGTCGTAGGCACGACGACCCATCACAGACCGCGTAACCCTAACTGGGTCAGATTTCTGTAAAATGTTTTAAGGGGCGTTTAGAACTATTCCTGCTTATAATTATAAACTTAGTGGTTTTATGTTAATAATTTAATTACTTGAGGGTTAAAGGAAATAACCTTGAATTAATTAGTGGGTTATTTTTCATCTTTTATACTTATTTATATGCTAATTAGGGTAAAAGAAAAAGGGTTTGGATAAGAAAAAGAGAAAGAACAGAGAGAGGGAGAAACGAACGATCGAGCTAAAGAAGAAAGCAAAGACTTTGAGGAGTAGCTTGCTTGATGACGAATTCTTCGGTGGAGGTAGGTTATGGTTTATGCTATTTCATAGTAAACTCTTAATAGCGAATGATATGTATTGGGTAGTATTGTAAATCCTTCTATATGCTTAATTGTGTGCTTGCATGATGTGATTATATAATTGTGATGAGGCTATTGAATCCTAAACCTTGAAAACTCTTGTTAATGTTGATGCCTTGGTATAAAAAAAGCTTGATGAACTAAAAGAATGAGGTTAGTGGATCGGGTGTCACGTTTCGGCACCAGGATAGTAATAGAGGATCGGGTGTCACGTTCAGGCACCAAGATAGTAATAGAGGATCGGGTGTCATGTTCCGACAACAGGATAGTATTAATGGATCGGGTGTCACGTTCCGACACCAGGATAGTATGATGAGGATCGGAGTGTCACGTTCCGACACTAGGATAGTATGATGAGGATCGGAGTGTCACGTTCCGACACCAGGATAGTAGTAGTGGATCGGGTGTCACGTTTCGACACCAGGATAGTATGATGAGGATCGGAGTGTCACGTTCCGACACTAGGATTGTAAAGAGACTGAATCTTGAAATATGTTAATATACTCAACTTAATGAACCTATTTCCCAAATGAATACGGTATGGTGGCTTGAGTCCTCATGGGTGTACTTGGCGTTATATATCAATGATTCTTGTACTTGTTGTTGCTACGTGTTGAGTATTGTAGTTGATTTTATGATATTATCTAATATATACTGTTTTCTATTTTGAGTTGGCCGATAATACCTACTCAGTAGTTGTGCCTTGTACTGACCCCTACTTGTATTTGTTTTTCTTAGTTAATTGTGGAGTGCAGCAAACGTGGCATCGTCTTCAACTCAACCGCAACTCTAGCCAGTCTTCATCACACCAGATTTCAGGGTGAGCTAATGCTTCTAGCTTGGACTGGATCTTCTTCTTCATGTCTTGATGCCTTGAAGTTTCCGGCATGGACTAGCTTTTTAATTATTTTAGCTTTTTAGATACTCTTAGATTTAGTAATTTGAGGATAGATGTTCTTGCGGTGATGACTTCCAGATTTTGGGAATAACAAGTATTGAGTTTTAGAAGTTATTTAATTGATTTTGTTAATGAGTTTTATGTCTTTCGCATTAATTTCTGTTTACATTGAATTGAAATGTTGGGGTTTAGATTGGTTGGTTCACTCACATAGTAGGATAAGTGTGGGTGCCACTCGCGGCTCGTTTTGGGTCGTGACAAACTTGGTATCAAAGCATTAGGTTCGTTGGTCTCATCACAGAAGAAAGAGTCTAGTAGAGTCTTAAGGAACGGTAGGGGGACGCCTTTACTTTTCTTTGAGAGGCTATAAGACTTTAGGAAAATTCCATTCTTTCTTTCTTTCTTTCGTGCTATTACTTGGATCCAATTGGTATCTAGGTGATACAAATTGGTATCTGACTATCTTCACTCTATTTCGTAGATGGTTAGAACTAGAGCAACAACTGCGCCAACACCAACACCGGCAATACAAGATGCGTCTGAGCCAGCAACTGGGGCTGTAGCTCGAAGAGGAGTAGTGGCAAGAGGCTGTGGAAGAGGTCGCGGGAGGACGTCCTCTAGAGGAAGAGGACAAGCACCTAGCCCATCTAGTACTAGGGCGGTGACTCCTCCACCGACTGAGGAAGTGGTAAGAGAGGGTGAGGATGGGGAAAATGAGCAAGTGCAGGATGAGGAATTACCACCCCAACCTACCCTAGAGATGATCAATCAGGTTCTTGCTTATCTTAGCGGGTTATCTGATCAAGGCCAGACACCTCCAGTGTTTTTAACAACAGCACCTCAAGTTCCGGAAGTACAACATACAACTACTATGGCTCCCCGCATGGATGCCTTATTGGAAATAGGCACGTTTCCTCGTTTGACTACAGGGCCTATAATGACGAGTGATCAGCATGAACTTTTCAGTAAGTTCTTGAAATTGAAACCTCCAATCTTCAAGGGTGCTGAATCTGAGGATGCCTACAATTTTCTAGTTGACTGTCATGAGTTACTACATAAAATGGGCATAGTGGAACGATTTGGCATTGAGTTTGTAACCTATCAGTTTCAGGGAAATGTCAAAATGTGGTGGTGGTCACATGTTGAGTGTCAACCCGCACAAGCACCACCTATGACTTGGGCGTCATTCTCTAGATTATTTATGGAGAAGTATATCCCAGGGACCTTGAGGGATAGGAGGAGAGATGAGTTCTTGAGCCTAGAGCAAGGTAGGATGTCAGTTACTGCGTATGAGGCTATGTTTCGTGCATTATCCAGGTATGCCACCCAACTTTGTTTCAGTCCACAAGAGCGGATTCACCGTTTTGTGAAGGGGTTGAGGTCAGAATTGCAGATTTCATCCTTACAGGTAGCGGCTACAGCAAAATCCTTTCAGAAAGTGATAGACTTCGTGATAGAGGTGGAGGGAGTGAAGCCAGATGACTTCACCATGGCATCGACATCAAAAAGGTTTCGTAAGGGAGGTGAGTTTAATGGTTCTTACTCCAGAGGACAGGGTTCAGGAGGTTACCTAGTCCGACCTATTCAGTCCTCACTACAGGCTATAGTTGGGGGTCCACCGCCGACCGGTCAACATTTCTCTGAGTTTGGAGGTTATCCCCAGACTTCGTAATTCTCTCAGAGACCTATGCTTGAATCCTGAGAGTGTTATGGATGTGGGGAGACTGGACACATTAAGAGATACTGTCCAAAACAGAGTTACAGACCCCCAATAGTCAGAGGTAGAGGTGGTCATGGAAGAGGCCTCTATTCTGGAGGACGTGGTGGTCAAGGTAATGTTGGTAACCAAACCAACCAGGGTGGCGGTTAAACTGGAACTACTGCAGCGCAACATGGTAGGGGCAACGGGCAGGCAGGTGATAGGGCCCATTGTTATGCTTTCCCTGGAAGGTCTGAAGCGGAGACATTTGATGCTGTTATCACAGGTAATCTTTTGGTTTGTGATTGCATGACTTCTGTATTATTTGATCCTGGCTCCACATTTTCTTATGTTTCTTCCTCAAATGCTACTGGTCTTAATTTACATTGT